CGATAGGACTCCGGAAACAATCCAGTCGCATGCAATCGTTCGGTGTAGCAACACCTGCGTAACCCGGCAATCATACGGGTGGCAGCTCGTTAGACTCTCTCCAGCTTCACCATTTCAGCAGTTGTATAGGGATATGCCGCGGCGCTCGCGAACTCCAAGCGAGGTCTGACGTGGGAGGTGTACAATGCCTTAAACCCGTCGTATGAGAGTTTGGAAAACGAACGACGAATGGCCCCAAGGATTTTCCAACTCAAGGCGCAAGCGTTGTCAGTCTGCTCCTTGGTTTTTAGCGACCTGGAAACCAGCACTCCAAGATCCCGTTCGCATGCGGACGCCAGTAAGTGATGGCTAGAACAAACAGCTAGCAGCACTAAAAGCCACCTCACCGTGATCAGGTTCAATAACATGGCAGTTCGACTACAAACGTAATCTTCTCTTCCGAATTCGTATGTCATAATGGAGCAGTGGGTGTGTATCAGTACGGAGTTCACTCGTTCTAATGCTGACCAAACTAACGAAAGCCATAAGAAGAGGTGCAGTGCATGGATCGGAATCGCAAAGATTGTCGTCTGATCCTGGATATGCAACGTCATCGAAACTAACTTTACTTATCTCTGTGCTTGCTTACAATATTTGTAAATGTAAACATTTGTATGGACTGTTTAAGGTGGAAATGAGAATAAATGAAAAATATAATCAAGAAGGATTTTGCAGACTACACGGAAAAGAAAACCCATTACAATAGAAAAATGCTACGTTTAGCGGTTATATTATTCAATGTTTTTGATCGGCAGATTACAGGGGTCTTTTGATCCCCGGTCCGAAAGACGGAAGATACTACTCACACCTTCCGTGCAGTTACGCATACCTTGTCTCTTCTTCACCTCTAAGTGGTATTCAATACCTCGCTGACATGCCGCGGTACGATGGATGACTAGCAGATATGACCGAAAGTTCTAATTGGAGCATTTCATTTATTCGGATTCGTTGTGACTAGCTTTCCTCTGGCACGCATACAAACAAAAACAAACGAACAGAATAATTTACTAAGATGTTGTTGATAATGCATACCGTTTTTATGAAACACTCTTATATGATGAACAGCGAACGGGGTAAATCGCATAGTCAAAAACACTTGTGTTGCAAACTAACTGTGTCACACGAAAACCATCGGTAATCGTAAAATTTAAATAGAGGGATGATTGCAATAATCGAACAGCATCAGGGCATGGTATAGGCGATATTTAAACCTCAATGAAGCGTTTTAATTTGGATTAGGATTATACACAAACGGTGTGTTTGGAAAATGTATCATGAATGGATGGCACATTGCCGTGGTATGATGGTTCGTGTGACCCCGCGAGCTAAACAGGACGGGTTTCCACGACCGCGGATAAAATCACGCCTGCAACGTGAATTAGCAGAGGCCAGATAAAGCTCAGCCTCACAATACCAGCTACTTGTTTCAGTTTCAGTTTGTACAACCATTAACCACGCATATTCGTGCGCCGGTTTTGGTTGCTGTCTTTTGGCTGCCCGTTCGGATGAAGAATAGGAGAAGAAAGAAAAGTTGGAAGTGGAGTCGAAAAGAAAATGGAGAATTTCAGTTTAGTTCAGGTTGCAAAAAAATATAGGA